AGGCAGTGACATTTCTGCGCTGTCTCAGCTCTCTCCCTCCATCACCATGGCTACAGCTGCTGCCAAGCCACGGGCGAGTCCTTCCAGGGTACCACCAAACCCTGTGGGAGATGCTACGAGAGCCAGCCCCTTTGGCAGGGAGACGCTTCAGGGACCCCGGGACAGCCTGTAGCATCAAAAATTCCCCTTTTTCATCTTTCCCTCCTCCTTTTTATTTTTTCTTTCTCTTTTTTTTTTCCTTCTTTTTTGAAGCACAAACAATGGAGCTAAAAGGTTGGGTATCAGGCCGATAATCATGAATGACGTGTCGTTATTACACGCCACACATTCATTATCTCCCACTCCAGCCATGTCACAGGCGGCTGGAGGAGGGCAGATAACGGGGTGCCTTCATGCAGATGGCTTATTATCAGGATGTTCCAGGAGGGGCTTTAAGACAGTTAGTGATGCTGTTTGCCAGTTAAAGATTAGAGACCCCAGAGAATAATTAACAATCCCAAAACCCAGTTTTTCTGCTGGATTCTTCTGCTTTCTCCCCCCACCCCCGTCCTCTTTAATCTATTCACTCTAGCAGGTGTAATAAAGTGATAAGGACAGGCTCCGGGGATGTTTGTTTGGCTACTACGGGTGTATAAACCAACAATGGATGGTATTTTACTTCTGGCTTTCAGTGGCTTGAATCGAGACCAAAAACTTTGCAGCCCCCTTGCCCACACACAGCCACCCCTACACACCGTGCTCCTGGCTCCCACCTGGATGGCTGGGCTCCTTCCCCAGCCCGAAGGACTGTGATGGTGGGATGGGCTCCCTTTTTGCTTCTGGAGATCCAAATCACATCACTTGGGTGTCAAGGTGCCCAATGCCAGGACATAAACCCCAGGCTATGTTGCTCAGGGCCAGGGCTGGAACTGGTGGTCCTTCCAGCAGCGGTTTACCTGCATACAGCAAGTCTTTAATGAAAACACCTTGGAATAATTTCTATGGTAGGTGCCCACCTGCCCAAGTTGCTCCAGGGTTGTGGTCACAGCTGGAACAGAAATATCGTAAACTTCCATGGCTGAAGAGCCTCAGGAGAGATCAGGGAAGCATCAGAGTAAAGGTGGCTTTCAACAAGATGCTCTGTTATCTAGGGGTCCAAGAGATGAGCTGCACCCTCCTAGGCCACAAAAGAAAGTTGTGATACATCTTGTAACAAGGTGGTAATGCAAAAAGACCACCCTGAATATCTTCTGCCCAAAAGGAGACTATCCTGTCCACAGCAGGTCCCAACCCTGAACATCTTCCTGAAGCCCAAGCTTCAGAGATACTAGCATTACAGAGCGAGGGGTAGGATGAGGTACCCACGGATGTCTTTCCCCTTCATCAGTAGGTGTGGGGTGACTTGTGGAGGACACAGTCACCCCTCATACTGTGTGGAGACAGGTGCTTGAGGGGGATTTGGCCCAGAGGCAAGTTGGCTCAGGGCCCTTTGGAGAGTTCACTGAGGCTGTTGGAGCTGCCCATCACCTGGGGGCTATCAGGTACAGCCCTGGCTCTGGAGGGCATCCCCCAGCTCACAGGGTCACCGTGGTGGGCACATGCATCGAGACACCAGAAGTTGCCTTCCTGATCACGCTCATCCTGCCGGGGAAGGATGAGACAGCATTGTGCTTTAAAGAGCATCCCCGACCCTATCAGCAAGAGATGAGATATCCTAATTATGGCAGTACAGGCGAGGATCTGGGCCATATCAGCCAGCACAGAAAGGTAAACAAGAAATATAACAATGGACCCTTAACACTCATTAGCTGTGTCAGATAATACCTCACTTTTCTCCCTTTGGGGCTTAAAATCTAATTAAGATTTTCCAACAATAAATTTCATTTATGCTCGCTTCCTTTTGTTCTTTTTAGGATTGCACCAAGAAGCAGCCATGAGCCAGCTGTATAGCTCACGGGAAGACAGCCTGCTTTGCACAGACCGCCTCGGGTCGTGCTTTATGGACAAGGGAAACTGAGGCAGGATGGCATCACAGACTTTGCGGAAGTGAGATCCCACCAGGGAGGTAACACAGTGGCTCTTAAAAAATATGTTTTCCCAAGGGAAGTGAACTCTGAAGGGGCACTGACTGGGTTAAGACCAAGCGTTGATGTTCCTGGGCTAGCCCAAAACATGCAGTGGTAACGCCTCATCTACAGCCATGGGAGGGATCCATGGGGAAAGGGACCCAGTGAGCCCCCAGCACACCTCCACTCCAAACCCACATCCAGGCATTTCCGGGGGAACAGCTTGGGCATTCATCACACATTCAGGGTGTGCACAGGGCAGGGAATAAACTCTTGCTGTTATTCATTATAAGGATGCCATTTCTAACTCCTTTTGCAACCGAGAGGTAAAAATTAATGGGTTCCCCTCCTCTTGCCACACCCCCAGCCCCCAGCCCAAGTGCTGACACGGCAGGAACGCGCAATGACTAATCCTCCTTAAACCCTGCTGAGCGAAGCATTACCGCTGAACTCTGGGGAGCTTGTTTTTTACAAACCTGCATGACGTTTGGCACCTGCAAGAGAAAAGTCTGGGGAGCAGCATCCCTCAGGGGCACGAGTGAGGAGGTCCAGGACCCAGCCTGGGGCTGGCTCAGCCTCCAGCTGCCCAGGGGAAGGTGGTAGAAGGGAACAGCTCTATCGTGATGCTCTGGATGGCAGCCATCGTGCCTCTGGCCCCAAGGGCTTGACCCCTCCAACCCTTCTGCCTGTTTTCTTCTACCCCCATGCGATTTCTCAACTGGAGCTGTGATTTCTCAACACTGAGTCTTGAGGGCATTTTCAAAATGCCTGCCTAAGTGAGGCTCTTCGGGGAGATGCCTTTCAGGGTGGGTCTGTTATTGGAAGGCTCCTGTTTTACTCCCAAGCTTGAATTTTTGGGTCATTAAGGACATTGACAGCTTCACCTGCGGGAAGCATGACAGCAGCTCACAGCCACAGCACGGTCCAACTCCAGCCCCCAGCTCCGTCCTGGAGGGTTCCCAGCAGGGGGAAGTGGCCTGTTTGGGGCTGAGCTCCCCATCAGGACTGTCGCAGCTTCGCTTCGGGGAATATCCAGCAGGTTTTGGTGGTTTAGAAAAATAGGGTGTTTTGCAAGCCCCTGCCTGGGGAAGAAGCCTGGGCAGCACCTCCTCCAGGAGAATCTCAGGGCTTTTAAGGTCACTGGCAAGTGCAGAGGAGCAGGGGACAGCCCTTGCAGCAGGAAAGTCTATTCAGCATAGAAACATGCAGAGCAGGAGCTCTGCTAGTAACAGGCAAAGAGGTACCTCCAGCCCCAGCACCCCAGCTGCCTGTTTCTGGCATCGCTGCCTGCAAATGGGCCTCTGAAGCACCTCCTGAGCAGAGACCAGGGCTCCCCCCAGACCCAAGTCCATCACAGCTGCTGTTTCACAGCAGGCCTGAAACCTCCCCTTGCCCCAATGGACAGCATCCAACAGCAGAAAGCAAGAGTGAGAGGTGGCTCAGGTGCCCAATATCCTCCTGCCCTATCCTCCTGCCACCTCATCCCCACCTCGGGGTGTTTGCACAGCAGAACTCCAAAACCATCCTGCTCCTCCCAAACCCAGGGGCTGCCAAAAATGCCCCTCTTATAACCCCTGATCCCATCTGATCCAGTCCCAACCCCTCCCATCCCATCCCTCCCAGTCCTGCTCCACCTGCAGTCCCCAGCTCCCCTTGATTGCAGAGCCCCTTAACCCTTTCCTTGCTGGTCAAGGGGAGGACCCTGCATACTTCTTGGACAACTGATGTCTCATGGAAGGCCAAGGTGCTACAGGTCTCTCGTTTCAATCTGAAAACGTCTGGTTTGGGAGCACTCGTTGCTCTCATGGTGGCCCAAGCACTTCCCCAGAGCTGTCCCCACCACAGTGAAAAACAGACCCTGGTTAATGAACAGCCCGGCAGGAGCAGGTTGCACCATGGCCGGACGCCCCAAGGAGAGTCAGCACTTCCCAGAGCAGCCGCTGAGACACGTTCTGGCAACACTGGGAAGCAATTGTCATTCCCAACCTCCAGCCACGGGAATGGCCCCAGTTGGCTGTAGGTCTGTGCCCTGTGGCCATTGGGATTCAGGGAGCACTGCCTTTCACCCATCGAGCAGTGCTGGGTTGGTGCTGTGCCTCAGTTTTCCCATCTGGCAAATGGAGAGGAATGACGCTCACCTCCCCACACGGCCCTTCACAGCTCTGGGGCAGTCCAAATGCTGAGAAAAGAACATGCTTCATCTTTTTGTCTCCCCTGTTGACACACAGACACATGCAAAAGCGCTCTTGACTTCATCCAAGCGAGGAAATAAAAGATGGATCCTACCCAGGAGGGATCATGAGGGAGATGGGGGTGCTGACCCCATCTAAGCACCCTTCCCACCACAGCACCACCTTCCCTGGTGTCCTTCCCTTCCTAAACTGCCCGAAGGCTGGGAGTGCTGCGAGATGCCAGAAAGTCCTTTGGGTGATTAGCAAAGTTACCTGCTTTGCTGTCATATGGGCAACAATTCTCTTTATTGCTCACAGGGAAGATATATACAGGGGAGAAGGTTTGTTCTGACATTAAAATGCTTGATGTCATAAAAAGGAGGGTGAAACATGGAGAAGAGAGCGAGTTTTCCATCAGCAGCTCCCCAGAGGGCGGCTGGGGGTGTGGGGAGGTCCCAGGCATCCAGCAGGGATCCCTCCATGTCTGGAGAAGGTCAGCACCCCCCTGGGACTGGGGGACATCAACCTCACCGACCAGGTGGGGTGACTGCCGGGCAGGAGAGGTGGCACCTCCAGACCTCTCCTGGGGACTGATGCCTTGCATAGACACCAGCCCCTGAGGCAGAAGAGCACATCCCGCACACGGGAAGGGAAAAGATCAGGAGATGGTAGTGCCGTAGAGAGGTCAGGGAGCCGCTGCACAGAGGGTCCCTGTGAAAATGCCCATCATGACAGCAGGAAGCAAAGTGAGAGAAGGAAGGAGGGCAGCTGGACGGAGTGCCTGCTACATGGCAGTGGTGATCACCCTCTCCTCGGGTTCCAGAGTGTTCTCGTAGGCGTGCTGGCTCTCTTTGGACCTGTGTCAGGAGGGAGAAGCACAGCGCTGAGCTCACCCCCAGCAAGACCAGCCTCCCCGCAGCCATCACAAGGGCCCTGACCTCACTGGTGCTTGCTGGTGCCGGCCATGCATTGAGTGAGGGATGAGGTGGGGAGGGCAGGAGGGGTCACCCTGCCAGGAGGAGAGCCAAGCATGGAGTGGGAATTGCTCTAATTTCTAGCAAGGTCTGTTTTGACAGTCAACATCTGTATGGTGACCTATGGCCACTTTTGGTGGTTTCCTCTCTTTGAAAGGTGTGATGTAGCATAAGAAAAATGTGGTATAGAGAGTTGCAAGGTGGTGGATGGACCATGGGGCTCAGCTGCAAGGATGGGAGACGCTGGGGAGGAGAGGATGCTCCCTCACCACTTTCTCTGTAGCCCCTGGAGAGGATAAAACCCCCAAAACCAGGCGCATGGGACATGTGAGACCCTGAGTGGGAGAGACTGCAGCTCTGCATGTCTGAGCTGTCCCCCCCCAGGGGCATGGAGCAGAGCCTGGGAGCCGTGGGTAGGAGGTCTGAGCAAGTCCTTCACCTGAAGTCAGCTGCAGCAGTTATGTATTTCCCTTCATGGCCGTTGGATGTGACAGCCTCCTGCTTGTCCTTGATGCTCACCACTGTCTCGACATTTTCCCTGGAGGGGAAGAAGAGAGCTGAGAGAGAGCAACGGAGGGGCCATGCCAGGGAGCAGCTTGTGACAGTGACAGTGCAGAGGAAGGGACTGCTCCAGCACCACAGAGACAATAAGGGACCTGGATGTGTGATCCTGGCCTTGGACACCCAGCTCAGCCCCCTTCCCAGCAGGACATGGCCAAAGAGAGACACCCTCGCAGGAGGTTTGCAGAGGCCATACCTGGATGCCGAGTGCCAACCCCCGGCTCTAGAGCTGGTACTCCCAGTGCCAGGCTGGCAGTCAGCAAGACTCATTTGTCAATACGTGGGATTGTTTTCTCCCTCTGACTGGTTTTTCCAGTCTTCTTCTATGTAATCTGTTGCAAAATAGTCCCCTACAGGTCCCAGCTGACACCGAGAGAAACGCCAAGGTTCTGCCAGTGCTGCAGCCCTGGCGCAGGAGCGGTGCACACGTACACATCCACACGTACAAAGCCGAGGTGCTTTCTCTCAGATGTCTCTCAGGGTCTGCATCGCTTGCAGAAGGAACCACAGGGCAGAGACTGGGTGTTTGACCTCAGCCAGAGCCTAAAAGCTGAGCTCTGGAGCAAGCCCATGGCCCGAACAGCACCAGTGGGGTTTAGCTGCAGAGAGTGGATGCAGGTCCACCCTGCATCTGCATCCCTGCCTCCTCCAGTGCTCACCCAAGGGGGATTTCAGAGGCTTTTCCAAGGAACAGACTGGCATAAACAGGCAGCAACTTGAGCTGATAGCTGCTGTTACAGTGACAGCACAGAGTTGGAAGCATGCCAGGCTGCTGAGCCTTGCTGACGGCTCTTCTGAAGAGAGGCCAGATTAATTAAAACAAGTTGCCATCCCTCCTCAAGCCCTCCTCAGCATCCTCTGCCTCCAGGCTGGGAAGAGGCAGCCAGGCACAGGCAGAAGTGGGAAACACCATCCCTGCCTCCCACTCCATGGGCTGGGGGCTTCTCCAGTTTGAGGATAAAGGTTCCTCTTTGAGAAACAAAGCCAGCAGTTGCAAATCAGACCATATAAATATACGTACACACATTGCATTATGCATTGGCCCTGAATGCATCCCAAAGGGCCCCCTTTAAATGCATTTGGGGCAGAAGCTGACCTGCTGAGCATTGGTGTCCACCCCAAGTCCCCACCTCCTCGGCCTGGAGAGGCTACAGGGATGTGCAGATACAAGAAGACTCCAGCATCTTTGGGTGCAAAGCCCAAAGTGCCCCTGCCAATGCAGAGGAACCAGGAACCAGGCTATAGGGCACTTTCGATCTTCATCCCCTGTTGACTTTGGGCTCAGATTCAAGATCAAGTTACTGCAACTTAGCCATTTAGCCTGGGTCAGCTGAGCAGAAGCAGCAGCCTGTGGCTTTGCTTGGCCAGCAGTGGGCAAGAGGTAACCGGCCCCGCAGAGCCTTTTCCTGATGCATAAGGCCAGCTCATTTGCCTGCACCATGGGCTCTGGCTGGAGAGCACTGCCACGGCTTGGCTACCTCCCTCTTCTCCCAGCTCCTCTCAGTGCCTTCTGCTGACTGGGTCTGGGCTGCTTTGCAAATGAAGCTGGTTTGGGCTTGTCTTCCCACAGATATAAGGCACCTGGGAACTGCACCCCCAGCCCCCTGAGATGCGTGCCCATGTAAACCAGCCACGATGCTGTGGCTCTCCTGTCTTTCATGCAGTAGCATCTGAGTGCTCTGTTTGGGGATGCCCCTGCACAGGGAGCAGCAGGAACGGATGGTGTACACTCACACCTGGCAATAAGTAACAGGGACTGGAGACCAGGACAGCAAGAAGAGAACAGGGAGACCAGGACAGGGAGTCTTTGCTCTCCCTGCCTGGCAGTGATCATGATGTTCCCAGCCCTGGCATGGGGATGGAGGTGGCTGGAAGCGACCCATGCAGAGGCAGCTAAGCCCAACCCAAAGCAACCCCCCAGGACTCCCACACTTACACTTTCTTCTTACACCAGAACCTATTCACCATGAAAACGATGGCCACCAGGACCAGAAACACAACCACTGCGATGACACCCTGAGACCATGGCTGGAGGCTGCCCCGGGCTGCAGAAAAAAAGGAGGATACATGTTAGAAATACATCCTCAGGCTTTATCTGCTTGGCCAAGCTTCTGCCGTCCAGCTTCACCAATGTCCAGCCAAGAACTCGGTCCCGCAAAGCCGAGCAGAGTGTGTTGTTGTTAGTCCAGGCAGGCTTACCCAGGTGATAGCAATGAAATAAAGTGCAAATAACAGCAGTTTCACTGGCATTTGCATGTGGAGCATGGTGCCTTGCAGCTTTGCAATATATATACACACACACACACATACATACATATATATACCCATATATATACAAACATATATGTACGCAGTGGGGTGCAGATGACTCTGGGATGGGGGGACACGGAGGGATGATGTTTACCCAAAGTGGCAGGGGAAAGAAGGCAGAGGGGTTTCAGCAAACTGTTTATTCTTCATCCCTAGATGCCACAGACGTCATTCCTGGGTTATTTTCCAAATACTGCCCAGTAAAATAAGAACCTCGCAACAGGGATGGTGTAAAATTTGGTTGCCACTCTCACAGCAAACGGTTGCCTGTGCGGATTTCGGTAAAATGCACCATTCAACAAGTTTCCAGAGCAGCAAAGTGATTTATGACGGGGAAATTGAAAACTGAAGCGTTCAGACCAACAGCCTCCAGCGCAAAGGCCAGTTGGGGCTGGCAGGGGGCCAGGCAGTGGCGGGGCGGGCAGAAGCAGTGGGTGGCCAGGAGCCAGCCGTGGCATCCCTAGCCCCTCGGGAATGGGATGGCCTCACAGGTTAATTTTTTCTCTAGCCAGACCTAAGCAGTGATCCGGCCACAGGTAGGAAGGCTGTGAGACGTATTCCTGGACACAGGAGGAACTCAAAGGCAGGGTGATGAGAAGAGGAAACCTTGTCCCAGTTGTTGCTGGGACAGCTGCTCCTCACCTCCCACCAGCTTTTGGGCAACGGAGCACTCGGGCATAGTCAAACCTGTCCTTAAGTGTTGTCACATCAGCACCAAAAGGAGACCTTGTCCACGCAGACACATCCCTTTGGGCTTTAATTACTATTTATTCAGGCACGGCTTTTCATGAATCCTTGCACATAAATGAGGTCCCTCCGCACTGGCAGATGGTGCAGGTGGAGGATGCTCCCCGCCAGCCCCAGCATCAGCATCAGACCACTTGGACCCAGCCCCTGTCACCGGCACCCGCAAGGCCGAGCTGCCCCAGGACAAGTGCATTGGTACTTCAATCTGACTCAGGAGCTTTACGCTAGCTGAACACTTCATCTGTCTCACAGGAGACAAATCTCTGCTATAAACAGCAAATAATCTTTACTAGCGGCAATAAATGTGGGTTGTGTCCTCTGCGTGTGCAAACTCCTCATCCGCTGCCAGCTTCACATCAGCTCCACTGCTGACAGCCCTCAGCTCCTTCCTCTGGTTTTGGGGAGAGGGACTGTCCTTTGTTAAGACCTCCAGCTTCTTGAATCCTTACTGCAAGAGGCTTTTATTAAAAAAAAAAAAAAAACAAAAAAACCCAACAACAACAACAAAAACACAACCCACAAAACACCAAAACAAAGCTCTTTTTTCCTCTTGGAAGTGAAATCAGCCTGGCTGACTGATTCACCACCTGTGCTGGTCCAGAAAACAGTGGCACCCCAGGGCGAGCAGCCAGGAGAGCAGCCCTGAGCAACGGCCTTCAGCCCCCCGCCTCCCCACAGAGACACTTGCCGTGTTTACTGCAAGGTCCCGGGGCCAAAACTCAAGTGGAAGGAATTCAGGTGGAAATTCCTTCTTGTATCAGGGTGTTTTGGCTGAAATCCCATCATATAAGCAGGCTGCTGGCGGGGGTACCGGGGGGTAGTGACAGCGAGGAAGAGCAGAGCTTGGTGCCCTCCTGCCCTACCTGATGGGCAGGAGATGCTCCTGCCCCTGCTGCCCACCACCCCCATGGGTGCAGCCCCAAACACACCTGTTGCCTCCAGGCTGAGTTTTGGCCCGCTTTGCTTCCTCCGTCGTTCTGCCCTTGGCTGTTATCTCAGCCACATTTATTTATTAGTTGTGGTTTATTTTTCCTGCCAGGGCCGAGGTTTCCAGCCTAAGCCTGGGAGGGGATGGTCAGGTCCAGCCCTTGGTGGGGTTTCTGCTGTGGCTAAGGGAATTCAAGGTCAACCGGGGAATGAAGTCGGCGATGACCGAAATTACCAAAGTTGCATCTCATGATCTTCAAGCAAAGGAGGTGAGAAGATAAGTGGTAGGAAAGCTCCTCCGAGCACCCATGCTCAGGAGGTAACTGTATGTTTTTGCAAGTGAAACCTCACTCAGATGGCTGTTTCCACCAGATTTCAGAATCCAAAGCCAAAAGGGAAAATATCAAACCAAAATCAAGTGGTTCTGGCTTTGAGAGCCCATGTAGAGCCTGGCTGCAAGGGGAGATGAGAATGGCAGGGGGAACAGCAAATGCCTCCATTTCGGGCTGAAATACTCCTGGGGAGCACAGGGAACTTGAGTGGGCATAAGAAAAGAGGAATGGGAACCAGGCAGAGGCAAGATCTTGATAGCTTAATAGCATCTTCTTAGGGAGTGAGTATGCGAATGGCAGCCCTGGGGGGCACCACCTGGCTGGAGCCCCACCAGAGCACACCTTGCTGCCCTGCCAGGAGGGACGGCCAAAAGGATGAGTCTCACCTGTGGAAACGGGACTGTGTTCTGGAAAAATTCTTTACCAGGGATGTCCTAGCCGGCACAGCCTGTCCCTCAGGTTCTGCCGCCTCCTCTTTGTTTCACCCCACATCCATGATGCGGTTTTCCCTCCCAAACAAGATCTTCTAAACTGAACTAAGCAATGTGGGATCTGCACCCCCCGCAGATGTGTGTCCACGCATCTGCGGCTACAAAAGAGACCAAGGGAAGTGCCGATGCCAATATAAGCCCTTGCACGTGTTGTGACTCCATTTCCATACTGAACGGCTGGGTTGAAGACACAGATCTGCTTTTTGATACATCTTCCCTGAGTGCTTGGAAAGCATCTGCTGGCCCCTGTCTTTTCCCCTCTCTGAGGAAGCTGTGGCAGGCTATGAATCTTCATTAAAGGTTTTCTTTTTTTTCTCTTTCCAGGCAACAGTAAAACTTTCAATCCTGCTGACGGTGGAGACCTCAAACTGTTAAATCCTCATCATCGGTCAGGGCTAGGGCATCAGAAGGAGAAAGGGGGAGGGAATTTTCCAGGACTTCGGCAGCATCAGATGAGTTCTAATTACTCCTTATTATTTCCAGCGTTAGACATGTCCTTCCACAAATTTCCTAAAAATAATGCCCTAGCCATAGGAAGTTTCTCTAATAAGTCTTTGGGAAGGGAAGGGGAAGGCAATTTTCAGAGGAAAATATTTGCTCCCTCACCTCAGCAATGATCAAAATTACAGATTAACAGGAAAACCTGCAAGCTCAGGGAGTGACCCAGCACAATGCTTGCCCAGGCACGAGAGCAAGAAGAAAGAAAGGAGGAAAAAAAAAACAAAAAACACAAAAGCCTTAAGAAAACAGATTACTCATCTCGGTGCACAGTCCTGCTGGAGGTGAATCAGAGCTGCTTTATCTCCATGTTAGCAGGAGAAATAAACCTCGGATGGCAGTTTCAGCCTTCGGCAGAAAGTCTCTGCATCCTGGCTTCGGTAAGACCTCCCAACCCACCAGACACCCACCTGTCCCCATCACCTGCTGATGTTAAACCAGAGCTGAAGCTTGGGCAGGACCTGGGATGTTTTTTCTCTTCCTAAGAGGACCTTTTACAGTCATCCCTTGTCCCCAGAGCTACCCCACCAAGCAGCTCCTGCCTGCCTGGGGCTCGGCGCACCTTCCTGCCTCTCCCTTGCCTCAGTTTCCCCGGGAGGTCAGGCAGCTGCCTGCACTTACCTTGCTGGCAGCAGGCAGGCTCCAGCTCCAGGAGCAGCCCCAGGAGGAGGAGGAGGAGGCGGCGGCAGCGGGCAGTCATGGCGGCAGGCAAGGCCACGGGCTCTCGGGGCGCAGAGGAGCAGCCGAGCGCGGCCCCTCCTCACAGGGCACTGCACTTGGGCACACCGCCCTCCCACAGGAATGAGCACTTGGTCAATTATCAAACACATTAACGAGAGAGGCTGATGCTCACACCTGGTTATTCAAATCCTGCTGCGGGAAGGGGTGGAAGGAGGTGCCTCTTTCCTTCTCCCACGGGGAGGCTGGCGGGGCATTTGGGGCATGGTGACTTGAACCTGACAGTCCCTTAGGGCGTGGAAGGGGACTCAGGCACAAAACATTTGCATCAGCCCAGGAGGAAGAAACGACACCCAGGTGAGTAAATCTCTCCTACGGTGTGGCTGCGGGCTTGGAGAATGTGGCTGAACAGCAGGACCCGGGTGTCCCCCAAGTCCCCCTCCCTACAGCAGGAGAGCCGGGGGGGTCCCCAGCTCTGACATCCCTTCCCACCCCGCAGGACCCCAGGTCCTGGGGATGTGTGGAGCTGCCTGCCATGGCCCCCACTCACTTCCTTGCTCTTTTCTTTTCAGCAAGTGCCATTAAGAACCCAGCAAAACACATTTGCAGCTTAAAAACATCCTTTTAATAAACCAGACTCGATGCCGAGTACTGCCTCCCACACCTCCTTTAATGGAGAGATTGTTAAACAGAGCAAACACAGTGTTCATTTTATTGAGCCTTCAGGGCCTTTTCCAAAATTTCTTTGGCACCAGAAGAAGTAGAAACACCCGAAGACCTGCAGCAGGTAGCAAGGTTGGCCCTTCACATCAGCTGCGCAGATGCTGCAGGATGGGGAAGGTTGCAGCCCCTGAGTTAAGCAGCTTCCCAGCCCATTCTGGGTGTGGATGGCTTACAAACCCACTCCACAGGAAAAACAAAAGCTATTTGGCTTCACAGCTGTGCTACTTCAGTTACTCCCAGAGGAAATTTTAAAATTGTGAGCCAGTGGTTTTGTCGTCATGCTTCTCGTGGTGTGTCATAGCATCCCCATAAGCCCAGCCCCACAGGGCCACTGAGCATCCCCCTCGGCAGCACCTGAGCTCCCAGCCTCTGGGTCCGGTGGTCCCCCCACCCAGGGACAACCCCTTGGTACCAGGTTCCCATGCAGGCACCCACAAGCAACCCACACTCGGGAACGTGCAGCACCCTCAGGAATACATACCCACTGGTGCAGGACTGCCCTCCTTCATCCCTCCTCTTTCCCCTGGATCTAGAATAATGTCATTTATCCTGAAAACAAGCCAGAGCTGGCTTGAGCTGTACAAGACTGAAGACCAGTTCCTGTCTCTCTCTCAAATTCCTTTCCATGGCCAAATCCCTACCTGCAACGTGGGATAATCCCATTCCCAACCCTGCTATTTTTTGCTTACAAACTCCTTGGGGCAGGGACTCTCCCGCTGCACCCAGCAAGGAAGTGATACAACAGGGACCTGCCCATAATAAAGCCCTATAAAAGTAATCTAATCCTGTTACAGAGGAAAAGGAATGGCTTGTGAAGAAATAAAAATGAGAGCGAACTTTGGGTTTCCCATGTCTTGCTTCCACTTTATCTATCTGGGAAAGGACACAGAGCTTGCGATTTTTGCTGCCTGCTTGTTGCTTGTCTCTTAGCAAAAGCCCAGCAAAAGAAATAGCTGTTTAGAGCAAAAGGCTTTATCAGCAGATCAGAAGTCCTAGAGAAGCCAGTCCTGCTGCTGCCCTTAGAAGATTCAAGGTCTGAGACATCTCTCTGTTATCGCTATCCATTCCCCAGTCACGCCTGGGGCTGCAGCACGTTGCTCATGGGGTTCCTCCTGGTCCTCCTCCACACGTACTCCAGGTTGTCCTCTCACCCCGCGGCTCTGCCTAGCCCAGCTCCAGGGACCCCGGGCTGATTTTCCAAAGATAGGGAAGTCTCAGGGATCTACCCATATCCTACGGTGCATTGGGGGGACAGGACGTGACAGACCAGACCCTGAGATGAAGGCAGGGCTGCTGTGCTTTCTAGACAGGGGTCTTGCTGTCGGCTCCCTCCTGAGGAGCAAATAACAGTTTGCCATTGCACATTCCCACATTTATAAGAAATCTAAGGAAATTTAATTATTTAGTTGTTCTGGGCTTGATAATGAGGCCAGGGAATCGCTCATTTGCTTATCTCAGAGCTCCCCTGTGCTCCAATGCATCTCCTTTAGCCCACAGCAGCTATTAGGAAGGTATGCGCTATTGCGGCCGAAAGTGCCCGTGGCACCTGCTTGGTTGCATATCGCTGGATCCGGCCTGGGGGGATGAGAAATAACAAGTCACTGTAATGGCAGCAGGGGCAAAGTCAGAAATTTTGGCAAATCATTTGCCATCTGGGTCGTCCTTTTGTCATTTTGGCTGTGGTTTGGGACCTGGAGAAGTGAGAAGCTATGCATTTCTGCTGCAGCGTGCTAGAAATCTTGCTGTCTCTCGCATTGATGCCTTCAGCATTGCCCAGTCGTGGTGAGGCAAAGCCCTACAGGTCCATTTTACAGGTGAGGGAAACTGAGGCACAGAAGGGCAAATCACCTTGGCAGCAGTTAGTTAAACCCAGCTGGAGCCAGAGCCAGCTCAGTTCTCTCCCAGGGACTCATGTGAGCAGTTGCCCGTACAACAGGTCTTTCACAAAGCAGGTCTTCAAATTTCAGGATTTACGCTGATATCCTCCAAAAATTGGCATTTTTTTCCCCTAAGAAATATGTCAGTTTTAGCCAAAATTAACATTTGCTCAAAGCAACATTCCTGAGCCTAAAATGTGTTCCTGGGTGATATGGCTCAGAGCACAGATGCCAGTTCCTCTTCGAAAAACGTTGTGGGGCTCTGTGTTTTAAGGGAGGTTATTTTTCTTTCTACTTCACTTCCTTCCTTCCTTCCTTCCTTCCTCCCTCCTTCCTTCCGTCCTTCATCCCCTCCATCTCCTCCCCCTCTCTCAGAAAGAGCCATAAAAATAAAGAAAATAGATGAGAGCAAGCCTGAACAACCCCTAAAGAAGAGATTGTATTTTTCCTACAAAAAAAAAGTAACGATGAATTTGTTAAGTTACAATAACTGCTCCAAAAAGAAAAGGAAAAAAAAAAAGCACAAACCCAATTTTTAATTGCTTGTTTCTTTTAATATTTTCCATCAAAATAAAATATTCCTCACTTGCCCTAGAATTCTTTCATTTCCCATCAACACTGGCTTTCAAGTCCAGCCTGGGATGTATGCTGCCATGGAAGAGCCAGGAGCTACAGCTGCCATAAGAAGGGCATTTTCTTGACTCAGCATGCCAGTGTGGATAAACAACAGCAGAAAAAGGCTTTTCATCCATCACAGCTCTGTGTCTTCACTTCCCCTCTTTAAAAATGCCTTTAAACAGCAACATATTTTCTTGTTTATGTGCTGATGAAAATGCCAGTGTCAATGGTGTGGCAATGGGGCATGGCCCCATGCTGTCCCTGTCCTCCCCCTGCCAGCCCAGTGCAGCTGGGCCGTTTGCTCCCCTCCTGTACACACACACATGGCCGAGAAAAAAAACACCTCTCGGCATTTTATTAGACATTTTATTAGACCATTCATGACTCCCCCAGGGCTGATGCTAATTGCAAGCCTTGAATAAGCAGCAGGGAGAGGGGTGTGGCATGATGGTGGCCGTGATCCCTCCTGGACCTGCGTTTGGGGAGGGTGGGGATTTTCCCCTTCTCCTCCCAGGCAGCCTGGGTGCTCCAGCAGGGTCAGCCAGCACTGCTCCTGGCAGGACACTTGCTAGGAGCTGGTACTCAGCAGCTGTCTGAGATGGGGCCCAGACATGGCCAGCATCGGGCACCAGGTAGGGCCATGCTACGCCCCTTCATTTTCCCTCACGATCTGCTCAGAAGCATCTCCATGGCCTGTGCGTATTTCATGGGACCCTCTGGATGATTTCTTTACACTAGCTGTTTTTTGGCACAGGTGTCTGGACAACGTTGACACTGGCCACCATCTGTGCTGGGTCCCGATGGGCAATGCTGCTGTTCCATACATCTAAGGGCAGCAATGGGCTCTCTCCTCTATCCAGCTGTCCATTTGCACACAGTTACCAGGATTTTTCCTCTCTGAGCTCCCTGCTCCTCTGTCCATGGGGTCAATAGCTGCCAGGGGTCTGACAGCACATTCACATCAGCCTCAGGTCTTGCAACCATGAGAAATTAGGCTGAGGAAACACCTACCTGATCTGTCCCACCTTGCCCTGGGCTGGGAGGAATCAAACTAAAAATCCCTGAAATGAGAAGAAAATCCACCTGCCTCCGGTCTGCCTTATTGTTGGGGGACAAGCCTGCATCTGTGATTCCCTCTCGGCTTTCCCATATGTTCAGAGGGCATATTGCACCCCTAATCATCTCTGAGCACAAGGGAAAGTGCTGCTGCATTGCTGGAGTGGCAGACAGCTGGGATCCCAATATGTGATGCTCAGAAAGGGAGAAGGGAGCTGACTTTGCTCTGGATATTCCCTCCTGCCCAGCAATATCGAATGGAATGAATAATTTACTATCCGATCATCTCTAATCTTCATCCCTTAAAATCAGCGGCAAGCTGGGAGGATTTTTGAAGCCTCCAGCTGCATTCGCTGATAAGACATGAGGCAGGAAAGATTGGAAGCCCATAAAAATGATAATCTCAGGCTTCAGTGTAACTTGGTGGAAGGGTTTTCTCCTGTCCTTTCATTAAGGATGGATTTCATGATCTTCCTTAAATAACAACAAGCCTTCTCACGAGGAATCTCCCATCTGAAAACTGATTGCATCGTCATTAGGAAAGAGGAGGCCAAGCAGCCAGAAAAAAATAGCTGGAGCACAGGTTAGCACAAGGGCCAAGTCCTGCAGAGCGAATGGCATCTGCTTTTATGGGGTGGGAGGAAAGGGGGTGATAGAGGCAATTTCCAAATGCAGAGCGAAGCTTTAGGCATTGGGGCTCTGCCTGGGAGAGCTGGGCACTGGCACCGTGCTGAGCTGCTGGCCACAA